GTGGAGAATGATACACAGATTTTGAGATACAGATATATATATATTGGATCTCTTTGTGGTTTGGGTTTTGGTGGTGGGTTTGGTTTTTTTTTTTTCTTTCTCTGTTGCCTGAAGCAGAAAAGATACTCTGAGATAGCAAAAAGCTGAAGTCTGATTGTTACAAGCAGAAGTTTAGGGATATATTAAACATGTTCACATCTGTCATGAGTTTGAAGAAATTTTGGTAGCATTTGAAGTTTAGCTCAGTTAATTTTATTTTTTTGCAATGATAATTTCATAGAAAAATATTAGGATTTTAGATGGGCTAAAAATAGTTGAACAATGGGCAAGGACATATTAAATATCTCTCTAAATTCCAGGACAGTGCCAAGGGATCAGGCAATACTGAGTACTCTTGAATTAAATGGGAACTTATTTACTACCACTGATGAGTCAGTAAGGGAAGCATTGAAAAAATGTTTAAATAAGCACTGGAACAAAACAAACACCTGGGGCAGGGGACCAAGTCACCCAAGATTTTATGTGACTCTCAGCTATTTAAAAAGTAACAGCTCAAAGGACCATGTGGACTGATTTCAACAAGAGCTTTACTGTACATGTTTGTCACACATTTCTGTTAGTGATGAATAGCTCCAAGATATTCAGATCATTCCAGATGCAAAGTTTGGAGGGTTTTACATCTAGATTTTGTTTTCTTCTGTGATAGTGGCTAAATTCACTGAACATCTGTACACTGTGTATTTTTCTTAAATGAATCAGAATTCAGGCTTGCCAGGATTGGGGTTTGTGTTTGTTTATGCATATTATCAAGGCTTAAAAGGACACTTACCCAGTTTGCCATCAACACACTGCCATGGTTTAAGGAGAAGGGAAGAGAACCCCTGGGGATGTATGAGGAATATGTGAAAATCTGAATCACATAGATGCTCTTTTATTTACAACCATAATTTATTTTCTATTTAAAGACAAATAAAATAGGAAATTAAAGAATACATAATACAGCTCTGGTTGAAGCAGAAAATTATAATTAAATCAGTGAACATCTGCATGACAGGGTATTTTTTAAAAGGAACTATTTCTTGATTTTGATTTTTAAAAAAGTGTGAGGAGTCTGTGACCTCAGCAGCCACTGACTCTGAATAAGTGGTGGACGCCAAATTGCCATTTGTGTCTTTCTGAAAAACATCTGTGTGTCCTCCTTGTGTCCACTACTTTTGCTGATGCCTCTGTTCAAGGAATCCAAACTCACAAGTGTGCAGGATGTAAAAGTTGTTGATATTGAGCATTGTATCAAAGAACTGTTGGTGTGTACTGACCTTGAAAAAATATTTTGCTGTGTAACTAAGTGTACTGTGTGGCACATGCAGGTTTTTGTTTCTGCACAAAATCTGTTACCATGAATGCTGTTTGCATCTGTGTGTGATTAATGACTTCTGTCTCCAGTGTATGTACAGTAACACAACCAAGCAATGCACTGCGAGAGTCCCATAATTCCCTGAAGACGTTTCATCACAATGAGATGAATTTTCAGTTATTATGCAGCTTTTTGTGTTCTGTTTTGGTATGAACAGACAAATATTTATTCCTTTTATACTAATTTCCTCTGTACCCTTCATTGTTCTAACTCATCTTATGCATGTGTTCACAGTAAAACTAGAGCAGAACGCTAAACCAGTAAGAGTAACATACACTGATAGCATAATGTATAAAAGCATCCTAAATTCTCTAGGAGGGAATTGTTATCTATGGAAGCTAAAATGCACTAAATTCACTTTTTGTATCATTATTTTGAAATTTAGGATTTGTGTGTGTGTGTAGGGGAGGATAGTTTTGCAAAAGGCAACTATTATCAAGGTGCTGAAATTAATTGGCTGCTTTAATTGAGGTAGATTACTAGCTAATGCTTTCTTGAATACAGTAATTCTCCTATTAAATTATCTTTGAATAATTACCTGAAATTTCTCAGCTGCAGGGACTGATGGCTATTTAATTGCACAGTGATGTTGCTATATAATTACTTAACAAGGTGTCCTTTAATAGTTTAATTCCCCTTTCCCAAGGAAAAAAACCCCTATGACTTCTATTTTTTAAGTGCTGTGATTTTATTTATTAATTTACAGATAACTTTGTATCTGAAACAGTAAAAGAAAGCTATTTGTTGACTTGCTTTTAAAAGTAAGTCTTTTGATTGTTCAAGCATAGATTTGGACTCAGAAGCATTTTGGTACAAAAAAAGAAAGTGGTTAGGCATTCCTTTAGCTTCATTATATTTATTTTGTGGGTTTGTTATTTGGTTTATAATGTACTTTGAATGATACATTAGAAGCTCAGGTCTGATATTCAAAAGACCTAATTATTTGTGTGCTGAGTTCTGTGAACAGGGAGCTGTCCAGACAATGGTATCTCCTGAGCTGAAGCAATGCAGACTGACCAGGAATTTTAAACCTGTATTTATTCCTCCTGGTCGCAGAGAGTGAGGAGATTGTCTACTTGCTGCTGGTTCCTGAGCAGCGAAAACAGCTATTTCGTAAAGATGTTGAAACAAAAGTTTGGACTATTCAGGGATCAAAAGACAAAAAGGCCCAAGATCGTGCCACAGGGTATAAGTTTCCTTGCTAGTTCAGGGATATACTTTTTTTACTGGCAAGAAATACCCTACATTGAACAATACAAAACTTAACAGCTACAACAGAACTTGTTAAGTCAGAACTTGAGGCTGAAGCTGGATAGAGCATTATGGAAAACTGGAGAGGAATGGTAGGATCACCTTACCTCTTCAGTTACATAAACATTTTAATCTATATGTGTCTGCTGAACATACAGGTTACCCAAAACATTACATTCTGACCCTTGAACAGAATCACAGAATGACTGGGGTTGGAAGGGATGTGGTCCATCTAAAATGTGAGGGCTTTTAAATTTCCTTTTAAAAACAGAATCATATGCTCATAGGAGTTACTGATCAGTTTGAGTTTCACACTGCTTCCACTGATCCTCAGAAGGTGCAATCTATGAGCATCTCCTCCTGGGAGCCTAGCTCTGTTCTCCAGAGGCTTGAGCCTTTGATTTTTAACATGCCAAGTTCTATCCTAAATAGCATTCAACATGTATGGCAGCCTTTTACAATGAGACTGGTACAGAGCATGTACAAAATAAAAATGTATGTCACTAACACACCTTTTCGAACCTCTTTGAGGAAGAGTTCCAAAACCCCTGTTTCTGTATGCCACTTTAAAACCAGAAGGGAATGATCAATCCAGTGTTATAGAAATAGTCTCTGTCCGGAGGGATTTTTTTTAGACAAATCTCTAAAGGATAAAGCCAGCAGAAGAATGGCTGCACTGGATCAGAGCAAAGACACACATAGCTCAAGCTGTCAGGAATGAAGGCATCAGTACCACATGTTATTTCATGAACATAGAATCCTTGATTCATACCATCTAGTGTTATCTCCACTTCTATCAGAGCGGAATAACAAAGGGGCTTTTTAATATCCATTGATCTTGCAAGCCTGATAAGGGATATTCATTGCCTGATATTCAAAGATGTTCAGCTTCACAAGATGACCAACAAATCAGGCACTAAAGATTAGATTTTTAATTAGAATAAACTGTAGAGCTGTTGACTGGATGGGATTTTTGTCAATTTGCATAAATAAGACAGAAAATTGCTTGACATTCATAATATTTTCCTTAATGCTTCAGTCAGGGAGTGGCAAACCCAAGAATAAAAAAGAAATCCTTTAGTCCTCATGTTTTCTCTAAGCACAAATCCATCTCTTGTCTTCTTCTAATTTCTTAGTAGCTTATTATCAGCAAGATAGTTTTTTCCTTGGGTAAGAGAATGCTTGGGCCTTTATCTCATTTGATCTTTAAAAAAAATTGTAATCTTTGGAGAGTGCCCCTAGAAACTTCTACCAGAGAAAAGTGGCCCAGGGTGTATCTGGGATTGAAAAGCTCCGTGGAAGAGTTGAATATGACCAGAGCTCTTGGCCACTCCTCTCTTACAACTATCACTGTTCCTCTCTCACCCAGAGCACTCAGGATGTACTACTGGAATTTTCATTAAATGTTTGTAATGACATAGGAATATAAATATTACATGTTTGTACTTTACTGTACCCAGAGGTCTAAAATTGTGACTGAAGCTCAGCTGTGCTAGATCCTGTATGGTGTTTTTTATTAAAATCCTAGAAGCAAAACACTCCCATCCTGAAGCTCCTTTAGCCTGCTGGGGGTAGGTGGTGTGAAGGATATGTGGTGTGATGTACACAGAAAGATTAAGGGACATAGGAGGCACCTCTCCAGAACATTTCCAAGTCTCCCAGAAGTTTGTAAGGTTCTTCTCTGTTTTTCTTGCTTTCTTATTCTTTTCTTTCCCTGTTTTCATTCTTCTTTGCTTTGACCTCTGCTTGTTCTTCATCTCTTTCTCCCCCCATGCAAACCCTCCCTTTTCATTCCTGACTCTACTTCACTCCTCCCCTCACTCATTCTCTTCAGCATTGCAGCAATGGTAGTCAAAAGAAGAAAGGCACAGAATTATCTGTTACTAAATGGGTGGTGCTGATGGAAAATTAGGGAGGAGGAAAAGAGGAATTAATTATCCATAATGTAAGGGTTAAGAAATAAGATTTTCCCAACTAACACTAATATCTGAAGAAATCCTAAATTTGTGAGAAATGTGAACATTCCTTCATCAGAAGCCTCTGTAGCTATACTGTTAGAAAAAGAAAGAGAGGGTCAAACCTTGTTTTTATCCCTGCTTTCTGTAAGTAACCTGCAAATAGATTTATTTTTTTTCCTCAAGGTTGCAGAGCATCTGCTGCTCCAATTTCTCTGCTTCTTAGGAAGGATGAGGTGTAATTGTAATCTGTTGCTTTGAGATCTTTCTATGAAAGCCATGAAACAAGTACAAGATATTATTGCTAGAAGGCAGTGTATGTAACCAGTCACTGGCTAGAAGATCACCCATTAATTTTTGTTTTGTTTATTTTTAAAAAGGTTTGTGGCTGGTATGGAGAATATGCCAAGTCAGCTGGATGAGTCAGCACAGGCAACACAAAGTGAGTGAGTTTGGTTGTTCTTAAAGAAAAATATTCACACTCCAAGTCAATTTATTGCAATATTACTGCAATTACAAAGCCAGAAAAGTGCTGTTGACATTTTCTTAGGGTTTTCTATTGGAAATGTGGCTCCATATCCACCTAGTGGAGGAGCAGACAGTTAAGATACTCTGTGTCTGTGATTGTTTACCCTAAAAAAAATGTTATTTTTTTTCAGTACTGTCCTTGAGCAAAAGCTAATGACACGTGTTTACAGTATGTGTCCACAGATTTTTCTTATGAGAACTTCAGAATAATGACAACAAAAAGCATTTTTCCTTGTAAATATGTTTTTACAAATATGTCTGTGTTGGTGTGAAGTCTCACTGACCACTCAGCAGGTCAGAGGTTTTTGAAAATCAATTCTTTTCTGCTCTGGAGTGGAAACACATCAAACATCACCTCAGAACATATGAGCAGACACTATTTTTGTGGGCATTTTGACTTTATATTTACAAATTAGGCAGAATGCTGATAATGTCCAAATAACCTACTATAAAATAAAAAAGGCAAATCTGATTGCAGAATCGTTTTACTTTAAGGTACATGCAAGATGATAAGCAGATGCTTAGACCTTCTTTAACCCTATGCAATGCTTGAGGCTGGAGAGTGACCTGAAATTTGAGAGGAGAATTAATAGGACATAAAGTTGGTGGCAATGGCGTAATATTTACCCCCTTTGTACTATTTCATATACAAAAGTAACTAGAGGAAAAGGTTGTGGTCTTCCTTCTGATGTTTTGCTGCTACAAATGTGAGATTTGATCAAGTACTGAATTAAACAGCAATGTTTGGGTTGTGCTTGGTGGGTTTTTTGTTGGGAGTGTGGATAATGAGTCATCACAAGGCTGCTCTGGACTGTGGGGTACCAGCAGGGGAAGGAACTGAACTGCTGTCAGACATTGCCAGCAATGGGAATTGCAGACAGGGATCACACAGCTCTGTCCAGAAATGCCTGTGACGAACACAGTTTGGTAAATCCATGAATCCAGGCCTCAGTTTCCATAGCTGTTCTGTTAGCAGTTAAATGAAAAGAAAGTGCTGATATTTGCTCTTTCTGAAACTTCTTTTCTAAAATTAAGTCTTATTCTACAAAGGTTATTTCCTACCCCCATAAGCTCTATTGGTTTTAATTTCTTTTTAATGCCAGATGAAATATTTGGGGGGTGGCTTTCCAATAGGTGTGTGATTTTTTATTTAGAATTGCATCCTCAATTAATAGACTGAGGGAAAAATAGTACTTGTGTATTTTTTATGTGTTTCTTACAATTTATTTTTTTTTCATACCTCAATTGGTGAGCAGAGCAAATGAGTTATTTTTCACTTAATGGTTGTAACAAAAGTTGTATGTCATCTTGGATATTTAATGCTTTTTCAGAATGAAATGTAGCCATAATGTTTGGGAAGTTTTTAAAAAAATGAAATTTTCTTAGGATGGAAATACCAAATATGTTGAAAAAATGCAAATTTTTAACATTTAGTAGCTTTAAATGTTTTTTTAGTAGATTACTTTTTCTCTTGGATGAAGTATGAAGGTGACAGTTTTGCTTCTCCTTGTAATTTTTTTTATATGCCTTCAGAGAATGGGGTGAGCTGAGTCCTGTTGGAGGGATGGAGGGCAACAATTTCCTTTTTGAGCTACAGGCCCTGCTTTAAGGAGTAGGAGATATCAAAGATTACAGGAGGGGAGAGCAAAGATCACCACTACAGAACTGAAAGCCAGCAGCTCGCTCAAGGGCTGTCAGGTGGCAGGGGAGGAGCACTCAGCATTCAGGAGTGCCTTCAAGGCAGCAGAAGGAAGAATTTACTGGGGAAAGTAATTTGTTAATCAAAGTCCCTGAGTATGCAGGAACTGGGCATGGGGGCAAGGACCTGCCTGTAAAGACACAAGTTAGTGCTGTGTGTGTCATCTTTATTTCAGTTCTGTCCAACATTACTTATAATAAAAGAAATATTATAATAATAAGAAAGAAAAACACTGATAACAGATTAGTCAAGAATTGCCCAGATAAAGCTGCTATAGAAATACAAACACAGTTTTGTATCAATGGCAATGGTGCTAAGTCTGTATATGTGAAGTGTGCCTTTCCATACTTCATGCATTTCATTTTCTTTAACCTCATCATTTAGTTTCATTATTATTCAATTATTTTTTGAGAAGTTATCTCTAATATCTCTCTTAGCTGCCTGATGCATATTTTAATCACAGAATAGAAATAAAGTTCTCAGATCTCAGTTTTGCATGAAATATCTGAACGTTTGCCTGGCTCAGTACATGGGAGTTCACACGTCAGTCATGTGACAGGTCCCATCTGGGTGTTTGACTCTCTCACATGCTGGGTTTGTGGGGTCTCCTTGCCATGCTCAGCTGTGGTCTGCAGGTACATCCAGGGAGCCAAACTCTCAGGTGGCTTCTTGGATTAAAGGTCTCAATTGGGTGGCTGATCTCCCTCTGCTGCTGAGCAGACCAGAGCTTCTCACCTGCTGAGGTATCCCAATACCAGGCTGAAGGTTAATAGGTTCAACTCTAGCACCTGGGATGCTGAGGCCAGAGATGAACCTTACCTCAGTCTGCCACCAAAGGTAGAGCCCTGTCTGTAATACAGAGTGCTGAGTGGGGACAAATCAATGAGTTTGTGTCCGTGAGTCTGAGTAGGTGTGGTAGGGTTTCTGTCAAAAGGATGTGTTCATTGCTGTTCCTTGTCTAAAGTAACCTGAAAATATGGAAAGATGTTGAGACATGAGGTCACTGTGTGAAGGACAAGTTTTTCAGTTCAAGTTGGCAAAATAAATTGTTTTGTCATAAAACAAAAGAATTATAATTTTTTTATGAAACTTAAAATGCCTTACCCTGAAGCAAAGTAACTGTATCCTCTTCAGCCTTATTTCTTGTCATGCTGTAGAAAAAACTGGGTCTTGATCAACTAATTTGTATATCTGGTTCCTGTTTCTATCTGGCTCCTGGTAATCATGGATGATCAAGACCTGTGAGATATAGTAGCTGTCCTTCAATATGCCAAGTATAACATTACAGAAACTGTATTTTAAAAATGGATATATTAATCCACCAATTTTAAATTTTGTTACAAGAATCTTTTCTGATACTTTATTTATAAGGATGTAGTTTTGGATGGGCTTTGGAGTAGATAGAACTGAGACAGGCTCTCCTTTTGTGTGGAAAGATTGTGGAGTTTTTCTCCTACTTTTGGTGGAGGGCTAGTACTTGTTTCCCTGGTACTTCTTGAGGTGATGGGAAGACAAATTTTGGTCATCATGGAGGTTCAAAATTAAACATTTTCTAATACTACCCCTGCAGACAGAGTGCTCAGGTGTTATAGCAATTACATCTGATATCAAATTTGAAGTTCTGCACATATAATTTATTGCTAAAAGCAAAGTTAGTAAGATTGCTCTACCTTTAAATCAATACTTTATTACAAGCATAAATCTTAGAATAAAATTAGAGTTGCAAATTAAGTTATTTGGATCAAACACACTGGGTTGAACTCCGGTTTTTGGATAACACAAGTTGAACTAGGTCTTTTTTTGTGGATCTCAGCAAAAAAATAAGATATCAATTCCAAAGTTTCATATCAAGCTGTCCATGACTCTTCTTTTCAGAGACTCTTGTGATTCTATTTTACACTCTCTTCTTTTCTTTTCTTGAATCTTGCAGCTTCCTTCTGTCTCAAATTCTGGATATTGGGTATTCACTTCTCAGTACTAGGGGAATACTTACCTTGTTTCTGACTTTCTGCTGAAGTTTCAAGTTCTTGTTATCTATATGATAAGAGATAATATATTTATGCCCCAAATAGTCATGAAATATTCTGGTCTCTGATTTAGATTTATTTAATCTATTCAAATGATAAAGACTGAAACACAGGCTATGCATGTAAAGTTGACATTCATGTGCAGCTATGATATCTCAAATAGCAAACCTACAATCACTACAAAAAAGTACAACATAATTCTAGCTGGCCTTAAGCCATTACCCTCAAATTACATATTTTACTAGAATTATACTACCACCTAGGGACACTTAGAAGTCCACCTTAGATCCTACTTCCAAACCCTGGGTTTGTTAATAATAATGGAACCTTTTTTTTCTTTTCTTTGTATGTAGGAGGCAGAGTTGGGACATTCTTAACAATATATCTGGCATTGAATCTAACTAATAACTAATAATACAATTTAAAAGAAAACAGCATCCTCTTAAATTTTTGAACTTTTGTAGGCCTTTCAACAAAAAAATCAAGTTATCCTTATTGTAATACATTTCTTTTGAAACCTTGAAGATCCTTATATTTGGCTTGAAAATATTTTGGTTACCATCATTCAAACAGTGATGCTCAATAAAGAGCAGGCAGGTGATGTTGGTACCCTTGGTTTGGGTTGCAGCCAGGAGGGGGCACAACAAGTGGCTGTTCCCTTTCACCCTTTAGGAAGTTCATGGCATAATTGGAGAAAAGTTGTGCATGGTTTCATGCAGCACCTTTTTATTCCACTTCTAATGTGTGAGGGAAATAGTGGAAAGGAGAAAGAGGAACAGTGTTATGTAATAGGAGAAAAGCATTTTCATTTTCTTTTCCCTCGCATCTTTCTTTGCGTTTTATGCATCTTTAGTCTTCAAATAGTGCTTAAGACACAAATTTCAGAATAGTTTTCTTTAGTTATAATAAAAATCAGTTTTTCTAGATTTTTATAAAAACTTGTTTCATCAATATTGTGTATCTGGAACAATGTAAAAGGTTGTCATGAATATGGTTTATAGGCATGTCATTCACGTGTGAGAAGTGTAATCAAATCCAGGGGTCCTGAGGGTCTATAAAGTCAAAGCAATAGTTAGATATGACATTTTTTACTTTGGTAAGACTTTTAGCACGTTGGGCAATTAAGTATTTGTGTGCACCAAGTATGTGCTCAACTGCTTGTATAATTTCCATGAATAGCTGGTTGCA